ATCTTTCTTCTATCATTGACAGTCCCTCTAGGTTGTGGGCTGCTTGCCTGTGTTCCTGAGAAGCATCTACGGTACCAGTCTATAGAGTGTGTTTTCTTTAGTGAATTACCGGTATGTTTATCGGTAATAAATTTGCACTGTTTTATGTATATGTTTGATTACATACAGCCTTGTGACAGTTTTCCTGCATGTCATAAGCATTTGAATATAAATTAAAATGTTAAAATTAAATCTGATATTGTTTTACCTTTTATTTGGTGTGTGGAAGGTGTGCGGAAGAGGGGGTAGTCTTATACGGCGAGTATATAACAAACTCTGTATTTTGAGTGGAAATGTTAGGGGGTCGTCTTATACGCCCAGTCGTCTTATAGGCCGGCAAATACGGTACCTGTAGCATTTGCCTGCATGCATCTAAGAAAAAAATTGATGTCACCTTCAACTTCTCTCCTCACCAAAAATGAACTATAATAGATAGCTCACTGCCTCAGGCCTGGAAACAATAAGTTACCAAACACTGGTAGGCAGCCTGGAACCCAAGGTCTGACCCCGAGTCTAACCACTCTACTTCCTTTATAATAATAACTGGCATGTATTGTGTTATGCATTACTTCATTTAAACATTAACAACCCTATATGGTATTGGATGTACTCATTTGAGACGTGAAACAAAGAACCAGAATGGCTACAGTGCTTTTCCTCAGGCCACACAGTTGTAAATGGTGAGCCAGGATTTGAACCTAGACCTGTCCTTTTCTATGTCCTTCTCCCAGAACTCAGGTATCATTGCCTTCCCAGATTCCTATGCTATGCAGGCCTCCCACCAGAACCAATGATGTTAGTGACATGGAGGAGGAGGGAGAGAAGCCAAAAGGTAGTTAGAGACAAACCAAACCAATTAAGCCAGTAACCTATTTTATTAACACATAAACCATACAACCTGACTTTAGCGAATTAATCTTGTAGTCAATGGTCAATCCCAATAATTCTCTGGGGCCCTTTGAGAGGCTCTCCCTCCTACTCTCAGGGAAGAGGGGAGAGAACACGAGAGCACAGAACTACTCCTCAAAGAAGGTGAACTCCTCCGTGTCATCTCTATGCTGCAGCTCCATCCTCTGCGCTGGCTTTTCTCCAACATCTTCCATGAGTTGCTCAAGGTCCAGGTCACTGGAGGCTTCATCGTCAGGAGGGAAGCTTCCAGCCTCCTGTAGCTCTTGAGGTCCAGGCTCTCCTTTCCCTGTGGCAGGACAGGCCCTGTGATGAGCTGGTAGGTTCAGGCCCTCTGACACCATTAGAACCTCTTTTTCTCCAGACAAGCTGGTTACCAAAGCCTTGCTTTGGGGAGCTTTAAACTTTTTCTCAGGGCCTAAATGAAAAAGTGAAAGAACTGAGAATCTTATTAAATCATCTGTCCTTACCTTTTACAAATCAAACTCCAAAATTTATATCTAAAAAAAAAACTCTGGAAAAGATTACCTTTCTCAATAGGAAGAAATAGGCTTTGGAGTCAGAAAGACCTGGATTCAAGCCATGGATTAACTGTATGACAGAGACATGAGCAAGCAAATTTTAAACTCTTTGAGCCTCAGTCTCCTTATAATTGAGATGGTAAATATCCAGCCATAGAGATATTGAAAAAACGAAAGGGAACAACATAGACATATCTATCTAGGCATTGCAAGACAATACTCAATAAATGTTAGTTCCCTCCTCCTTACTATTCTGGGGTCTCTGGATCAAATCAAATCTACAACCATTATGTTCCTACTAGAGGCTCGATGCATGAAATCTGTGCAAGAGTAGGCCTTCCTTCCCCCAGCTACCAGCACTGGCTTCCCTCTGGCACCCAGGACCCCGGCTTCCCTCCGGCACCCAGAACCCGGGCTTCCCTCACAGCCCCAGCTTCTCCAGAAGGTCGTCTGGAAGGATATAGAGTCTAATTAGCATATTATGCTTTTATTATTATAGATAGTGTGTACTGCATTCTACAATCGGAGAGATGCCATTTTGGCCAGTTTTTGTTTTTTTAAAGTAATGAAAAAGTATAGAATTGTTTTAAAATTATCCAGGGAGAGGAGATATAGACATGAACCCTATTTCCCCAAACTTTTTCCAAAGTCTAGAGCCTTACCTGGCTGGTCAGGATCTGAATTCCCATGCACTTTTTTCCTTCCCATTATGGGTACAGGAGCAGCTGCAGGTTCATTTCCAAGAGATCTCTTCACTGACTTCCCTTGCTGAGTCCCATCTCGTCCATCTGCTATGCCTGCATCACCCCACACCCACACCATGAAGAACATTTATTTCTCCCTAAATAACAACTTGTCAAGGGTCCATTGACACCCCACATTTAAGTCTCTGCCCTGTATCTTCTGCTAATCTTAATCTAGTAAATTCCTTCAATTCCTTTCCCCTCCCCAATATTTCTCCCCTCTCCCCCACCCCCATCATCTTCTCCTCATGGTTCTTCTCTAGAAAGTTATCCTTCTTGTTAAGAATTTAAAACATTCATTCCTAAGATTTTATAATTCAATATTCAGAAATGAGGATGCTATAGATTGTCCAATGACACTAGCATGAGTCCTGCCATGTTTTCTCAGATTCTGGATCTGAGACAGTAAGTTCCAGCTACCTGCAGGCCCATTACACTCTCTGCTTTCTCCCTGCCTTAACTGTAACACATGTCCCATTCCAGCTGGCTTGCTTACCTCTTGCCTTGGGGAGTTTTGTCTGAATTTTGGCTGGCTTGGGACTAGGCAAAGTTGGGTCCTAAGTATGGGAGAGAAAAATAAGAAAAGATAAATGAAGTCACATAATTGTGTTTTTAATAAAGTGGAATGCTACAGAAAGGATGAGAACAGCCACAGACTGAGAAAATATATTTGCAAAAGGCATATCTAACAAAGGACTGTTATCTAAATATAAAGAACTCATAAAACTCATCAGGAAAACAAATAACCCATCCTGGCCGGTGTGGGTCAGTGGTTGGGCATCCTCCTGTGCACCAAAAGGTTGCCAGTTGGATTCCTGGTCAGGGCACATGCCCAAGTTGTGGGCTTGATCCCCAGTAGGGAGCATGCACGGAGCAGCCAATTGATGTTTCACTTCCACCTTGATGTGTCTCTCTCACACTCCCTTCCTCTGTCTCTAGAAATCAATAAAAAAATTTTTAAAAGAAAACACCCCGCCGAAACCGGTTTGGCTCAGTGGATAGAGCATCGGCGTGTGGACTGAAAGGTCCCAGGTTTGATTCCGGTCAAGGGCATGTACCTGGGTTGCGGGCACATCCCCAGTAGGAGATGTGCAGGAGGCAGCTGATCGATGTTTCTCTCTCATCGATATTTCTAGCTCTCTCTCTCCCTTCCTCTCTGTAAAAAATCAATAAAATATATAAAAAAAAAAAACACCCCATTTACAAATGGACCAAACACCTTAATGGAAACCTTACCCCAAATACACAGATAATGAGTAAGCACATGAAAAGATGTTAAACACCATAAGTCATAAGGGAAATGCAAATTAAAACAACAATGAGATAGTACTATGCACCTATTAGAATGTCCAAAATCCAAAACACTAACAACATCAAATGTTGGCAAGGATGTGAGCCAACAGGAACCCTCATTCACTGCTGGTGGGATGGGAATGTAAAATGATATAGCCACTTTGGAAGGCAGTTTGGTAGTTTCTTACAAAACTAAACAGACTCTTACCATATGATCCAGCAATCAAGCTCCTTGGTATTTATCCAAAGAAGTTGAAAACTTAAGTTCCCACAAAAACCTGTATACAATGTTTATAAGCAACTTTATTCATAATTGCTCAAACTTGGAAGCAACCACGATATCCTTCAGTACGTGAATGGGTAAATAAACTGTGGAACGTACAGAAAATGGAACATTATTCAGGAAAAAAAGAGCCATCAAGCCATGAAAAGACATGGAAGAACCTTAAATGCATAATTCTAAGTGAAAGAAGCCAGTCTGAAAAGGCTACATACTGTGATTCCAACTAGATGACATTCTGGAGAAGGCAAACTACAGAGACAATGAAAACCTTTGAGGATGTTAAAGGTTGAGGCATACTTGGGGAGGGAGAAGAGATAAACAGGTAGAACACACAGGATTTTTAGAGCAATGAAAATACTCTGTATAATATTATAGTGATTGATACATGTCATTACACATTTGTCCAAACCCATAGAATGTGCAAACTAAGAGTGAACAGTAATATAAACTATGGGCTTTGAATGGTTATGGGTATGTCAATGTAGGTTTATTGATTATAACAAATACACCACTCTGGTGGGGGATATTGATAATGGGGGAGGCTATGTATGTTTAAGGAAGGGGTAAATGGGAATTCTCTGTACCTTCCTCACAATTTTGCTGTGAACCTAGTACCACTCTAAAAAGTCTCTTCAAATATGAACAAAAAAATCTATATTTCATGTGCCTGAAAAGAGACTAAGGAAACAAGTGAATGAATATCCTAAGTGTCCACATAGTGGGAAGAGAGAATAAAGAGAGGCAAACTGGTGTTCTCTGAAATTGCTCCAGTCAAAATCAAAGAACTATGGTAGGAATTGAGATGATAATCAATAAATAAGTTGCCCTAAAAAAAGAAAGAAAGAAAGTTGTCTTGACTGGGCAACTCAGTTGGTTAGCATGTCCTCCCAATATACCAAAGTTGCAGGTTCAATCTCCAGTCAGGGCACATACAAGAAGCAACCAATGAATGCATAAATAAGTGTTACAACAAGTATCTCTCTCTCTCTTTCTCTCTCTCTCTCTCTCTCTCTTTCTCTCTCTCTCTCTCCCACCCCTCCTCTTTCTTTCTCTCTAAAATCAATAAATTTAAAAAAGAAAAGAGCCCTGGCAGGTGCAATCAGTGATCAGAGCTTTGGTCTGTGCACCGAAGGATCACAGGTTCGATTCCCAGTTAAGGGTATGTACCTGGGTTGTGGGTTCGATCCCCGTCCTGGTCAGGGCATGTGCGGGAGGCAACCAATTAATGTGTCTCTCTCACATCCACGTTTATCTCTCTCTCTCTCTCCTCCCTCCCTCTGCCCCCCTCTTCTCCCTTTCCTTTCTCCCTTCCACTCTCTCTAAAAATCAATGGAAAAAATATTCTTGGTGAGGAATACATACATACATATACATTTTTTTTAAAAAAGAAAGAAGTTCTAACCCTGATTGGGTAGCTCAGTTAGTTTGAGCATTGTCCTGATATGCCAGGTTGGGGATTTGATCTCCAATCAGGGCACATACAAGAATCAACCACTGAATGCATAAATAAGTAGAACAACAAATTGATGCTTCTCTCTCTCCCCCTTCCTCCCTCTCTAAAGTCAATCAATAAATAAAATCTTTAAAAAAGAAATAAGTTCCTAGGGATGTGATATAATTGAGAGAATAATCAAGGAAATTCCTTGGAGACCCTAAGAGACAGGATTGTTAGGGTTTCCTGAGGCAGAGACAGGATACTTCCTTAGTAAATATAACCCATGCCAACAGATGCCCTATAGGACTCTCCTAAAAGGAGCCCCAAAGATCAATCTTACTTTTTTTTCTCCCTCCTTTTCCTCCTCCTTCTCCAAGTCTGACTCTTCCTCTTCTTTCTCCAAGAAGGAATCTGGGCTCTTAGCCCCAGTGAACATTAAGTCTAGAACAGGAATAGGAAGGAAAGCTAAATCATTTAGTCAATAAAAGGTGATGCGTTAATGGAGCTGATCCCAGAGAATCAGTCTTCTAACTCTACCCTTCATGTCCAAGTAGTATTTTCTCCATAAATCATGATCCTACAGGAGATTATCACAGTTCAACCCTTTTCAAAGTCTCATCACTTTTAATGCACACCCTTCTTCCCTGCCCCCTTTTTTCCTCCATTCCTCTCTCCACTCATCCATTCATCTATTCATCCCCAACACTGGCCCAATGGTATTCATGGAAAACCTGTTATTATAAAAATCTAGAGCTAGGCTGATAACATCCTATATAATAAAGAGCTAATATGCAAATGGTTGTCACGCCCTAATGCCTTAATGGCTCAGACATTCAACACTGGGGAGAGAGGAATGGGGACCAGTCAGGCACAAATGAGCTCACAAGAGAGGAATTGAGACCAGCCAGGCACAAATGAGTTCACAAGAGAGGAATGGAGACCAGCCAGGCTGTGGTTTGGGAGAGGGACAAGCTGCCTGCCCTGCTGCCTGCCCTGCGGTCTCAGGCGCCAGTGCCTGTGGACTGGGAGAAGGACAAGCCGCCTGCCCCGCGGTCCTGGGCGCCTGTGGCTGCAGCCCAGGCAAAGCTGCCCACCCATGGTCCTCTGCAGCTGTGGCCAGCCTGGGTCCTGGGTGCCTGCAGCCAGCCAGAGGGAGGGAAGCCTAGGTCCTGGGTGCTTGCAACTGGCTGGAGGAGGGAATCCTGGGTCCTTGATGCGGGGCGAGGCAGAGGCGGTTAGGGGCAATCAGGCCAGCAGGGGAGCAGTTAGGGATGATCAGGCAGGCAGGCAGAGGTGGTTAGGGGAGATCAGGCAGGCAGGCAGAGGGGATAGGGGTGATCAGGCAGGCACACAGACAAGAGGTTAGGAGCCAGCAGTCCCGGAATGCGAGAGGCAGTCGGACATCCCCCGAGGGGTCCCAGATTGGAGAGAGTGCAGGTCAGGCTGAGGGACCCCCATTCCCCGCTGCACCCCCGCCCCTGTGCATGAATTTTGTGCACCAGTCCTCTAGTCAGAAATAAAGAAAAGCTTCAGTTGCTGTCCTCATGAAGGAATCCCTCCTCTCCCTCTTTAGTCTTTGCCTCCTACATATCCTACCTTTTCCTTCCCCATTATTGTCAGATCCATTGTATCTGCTCCAGAAACCAAACAATTTAACCCGCTCCTGAGGGAACCAAGAAACAAAAGCATCATCTACTACTCTCCCAGGGACTATTGTTGCCCTGTCTTCAAGATTTTAGTTATAGGATTTGAATTTATATTCCATACCATTTTCACTTGAAATTTCACATTAGATTTACCTAGATTTTTGTGGAGATTAACTATTATAACATATTGTAGTAAAGTAATATATAATCATATTATCATCTCTTTTCCAGTTTATAATTCAATAAGTAACTGGGAAAGATAAATTCACTGTTTGTCATTCTCCACCCACCCCCAAAGGCAGAAATTGAGGGTAAACACTGACTCTGCATAAAAGAGATGTTAAGGTAGATATATCTGAAACTTGACATTATACCTTAGCCCCCTACCACAAACTGTCTCTGTCTGGACTGAGAGAAGATCCCATTTATCCAAGGGTAAGGAAAAGAATGGATCAATTAAGGAATTGAGGGAATTTGGCCTGGGAAGAAAAGACTATGTAGTTCTAAGACTAAGACTGTATAACAGAGAAGTACAAACCAATTTTCTGCAGCAGCGAACACATGGTTTGCTTTGGGTCTCAAGTCCCAAAGAGGAACTGGTATGTTATCTGAACACTTTCCCACCTGAATACCAATCTGTTCTGCCTCCTGAGCCATTATCATGGCTGCCCCCAGTTTCTGGCTGCAGTCCTTGTACCTGCACTTTTTCTGAAATGGAAGAAGAGTAGAGTCATGATAAATATTAGAGACGTGACCCCAACATACTGCTCACCAGATATCTTTTTTAAAAATATTTAAAATATTTTTTATTTATTTCAGAGAGGAAGGGAGAGGGAGAGATAGAAATCAATGATGGAGAAAATCATTGACTGGCTGATCCCTGCACACCCCATACTGGGGATCGAGCCTGCAACCCAGGCATGTGCCCTGACTAGGAATCGAACCATACCTCCTGGTTCATAGGTCGATGCTCAACCACTCAGCCATGCTGGCCGGGCCCAGATATTATCTTTAACTACATTTATTTCCAGCTCCTGGTATTGACATGATACTCTTATTAATCTTTTGAGCTCAGAGACGCAATTCTCGCTTAGCCCCCAACAAAAAACCCTCACCAATTCCGAGCAATGTTTTCAACCAACATTTTGATGTCCTTTCCAAAGTAATTCCCATGGAAATTTGAAAAGGCAAGATTAAAGGACTTCAGATGATTACACTTTTAAGCTTTTCATAAGTTTCTTTAGATCCAGCTGTTTGATTTAATACTCACTACCTAATTTTCTAAGGCCCCTAAGCTGCTAGACCTCTGCTCATTTATAGCTAATGCAGTGATTCTCAGCCAGGCGAGGTTTTGCCCCCCCAGAGGACATTTGGCAATTCTAGAAACAACTCTTTGGTTGTCACAACCAGGTGTGGGGGATTCCTACTGGCTAGTTGTCCAGGGATGCTGCTAAACATCCTATAATGCACAGGACAGCCCTCCACAAGAAACAATTATCTGGCTCAAAATGTCAATCGTCTCCAGACTGAGAAACCCTGAGTTAATCTATGCCCTCATTTCTGCCACACCTGCTTTGGCTAAACTGTAAAAACCTAATCTTCAGGAAGGCCTCCCATCTGAAGGCAGAGAAAAAGATTAAGAAAAATGACTATCTTGTTACAATCCTGGTAGATAGAAGAGTCCCTCATGAATAACCTCACCCTTGCACACTTGGACAGACATGAGACTTTCTCCTGATACAGCTTCCCCTGGCAGAATATCAGGTTAATAAAGGGAAAATTTCGTTTTCAAATTTGCTGCATCACAACTGACCCCCAAGGGTTGCTCACCACTCCAGCTAGCTCCAGAGACAGCTCCTGAAAGTTCTTTAGCATGTTGACTGGGATCCAAGCACGAGAGACTGTTTCTCCAAAAAATGTCACATGGTACTTAGACTGAAATAAAAGATGGTTATGTTATGGCCTCTTGTCTTTCTCCTTGCTTTGGCCCTCCAGCCAGAAAAGGAGGGGAAGAACTGTGGAGTCACAAGGAAGGAGATGCTGGGCCTCTTCTGCTCCTTTATACTGATCCACCTGACCCACTTATTTCATTGTTCTTCCATCCTGACCTCAGTAATCCTAACCAATGCAAATTTATCAAAACATTCATGTCCTAATAAATATTTAATTAGACACAAGTTTGTTTCTATGTGTGAGAATTTATTTCTGTTTGTCACTCCAGCTAAGTGTCTGTTTCTGCTCATGTCTGCTGGCTATGCCTATGTTCTAACTCTGTGCATCTGTTAGGATGAATTTGGTCATTACTTTGGCTTGACCACCTACCTGAATCAGGAAAACTCACCGGCAGGGAATCAAGGTGAGAAGCAAAAAGAAAATATTCCCCCAGGTCAGGGTCCAATTCTACCATGCCTGGCCACCTGAAGAAGATAGATGGATGTAGGAGACGGAAGAGATGGGTTTAGATGAATAGAACACAAACTCATTAATACACATGTAAAGAAAGGAGCAATATGTTTTGTAACCCAAGTCAGACACCACCACCCCGGTCAATCCCTCCCAGTGGTCACTACCAAATGACTGAAGACTGAAGTAACTGTCATCAATGTACAAAGAAGCTTAGGATCTTCCTTGTAAAAGTATCTTATCCTTAGGCCTTCCAGCAAGTCTGAGAACAAAGTCTTCTGACTAGGGACAGCTCCAATGAAGAAATTACCCATCCTACCCTCCCTTGTTCTCTTACTTTATCCCTAATATCTCAATGTTTAAAAAATGCTGTAGAGCCACTCTCCTCTTTCAACCCATTCAGGATAGAATTGTCAGACTCTTTTTTTCAGGGAAATACAACATCCACTATGAAATTCTAACGAACATGCTCTTTCAAAGCCTCCAAGCTTAGTATTTTATATTCTCCCCCACCCCATGCTCTTTCTAAGGCAAATACCATGTCTTTTCTTCTCTTTTTTAATCCTTACCTGAGGATATGTTGTGGATTTTTAAATTATTTGAGGGAGAAAGAGAGAGAAACATCAATCGGTTGCCTCCTGTATGTACCCCGCCATGGGGATTGAACCCACAATCGAGGTATGTCCCCTGACCAGGAATCAAACCCACAACCTTTCAGTGTACCAGACAATGCTCCAACTGAGGCACCCAGCCATGGCTAAGGCAGGTACCATTTCCACTGTAAATGTTTCCCATTTCCTTCCTTCTCTATTTGAATCTACCACTCTCAAGTTCATGAAGGCTGTTCCAAGTATGCCATGGTGCCCTACCAGGGGTAACCATATTGCTTGGCCCAGATGATGGATCCTGGGATGTAGGAGGCATAGGCCACATCACCCTCATGCCCTATCCAGGTCTCCTCAGGGATATCACAGTGATTGTACTCCAAGTCTGCCAAAAAAAAAAAAAAAGGAAAATAGCCTGGATGAGGACAGGAGATAGGACAGGAAACAGGGATAGGCAGCAGGTATGACCGAAAGGGCACCTGAGAGATGGGCATGGAGGAAGAAGAACAAAGACCCTTGGGGGAAATGCAACCTAGAAGTAGGAGTGCTGCCTCCTTATACTCTAGAGCAGTGGTTCTCAACCTTCCTAATGCCGTGACCCTTTCATACAGTTCCTCATGTTGTGGCGACTACCAACCATAAAATTACTTTCATTGCTACTTCATAACTGTAATTTTGCTACTGTTATGAATCGTAATGTAAATGTTGATATGCAGGATGTATTTTCATTGAACATAATTAAAGCATAGTGATTAGTCACAAAAACAATATGTAATTATATATGTGTTTTCTGATGGTCTTAGGTGACCCCTGTGAAAGGGTCGTTCGACCCCCAAAGGGTTGCGACCCACAGGTTGAGAGCCGCTGCTCTAGAGAAAGAGATTCCAGGCTTCTATATCCCACATTGTTTGACCCTTCTATGTAACATTATGACTATAATTTCTCTGAGACATTATTTTCTCATCTGTAAAGTAATTGGGCTGAATTAAAGCATCATAATGTCTTTCAAGTAGTTTCAAACATTCTAGAATTCTATGCCATTGGATCTTTCTTACCTGCTTTTCCCTGTATATTCCATACCCCTTCCTATCCAACCCAATACCAATATTCTAATCAGGATTGACAGGGTCAAACCAATGCTGAAAAAGATGGAATTCTCTCAGAACATATGTGTGCTTTTCTATATGTTTTTATTTATTTCAGAGAGGAAGGGAGAGGAAGAGAAAGATAGAAACATCAACGATGAGAGAGAATCATTGATCAGCTGCCTCACACATGCCCTCCCCCACCCCTCACAGGAGATCGAGCCTGCAACCCAGGCATGTGCCCTGACCAGGAATCCAACCATGACTTCCTGGTTTATAGGTCAATGCTCAACCACTGAACCACATTGGCTGGGCTCAGAAAATATGTTCAGATTCCATGCCCCTCCCGACAACATAGGTTGTCCTCTTCTAGCCCGTTATGCCAGATTCATCTTGATATGACAAGAAGATCGTTTTCTTTCTCTAGAGCAGGGGTGGGCAAACTTTTTGACTCGAGGGCCACAATGGGTTTTTAAACTGGACCAGAGGGCTGGAACAAAAGCATGGATGGAGTGTTTGTGTGAACCAATATAAATTCAAAGTAAACATCATTACATAAAAGGGGACGGTCTTTTTTTTTCAATAGTTTTATTCATTTCAAACGGGCCGGATCCGGCCCGCGGGCCGTAGTTTGCCCACAGCTACTCTAGACACTATAAGGACCCCTGAAGTTAAAACTACACCTACAACATAATTAATTTAAAGGATATATGCAGGGAAAGAAAGGGTGGAACCAAAAAAAAAAAAAACACACCATAAACATTTCCACTCCATTCTACCTGTATTCTGGTCACAGGACCAATTATCTGGAAGGACTGAGGGGTCAGCATTCCCATGAAGCCGCCTCCATTTCCCACAGTTTGGGGAGGAACACTGGACCCAGACTAGACACTGACCTGTGACAGGGGGAAAAATTGAAATGAGACTCAAAAATGTGCTCTTCCTTCTTCAACTCATTTAAAATCAATATACTCCTCACCAGAATCACATAGCCTTAGAGATCACCTAGTCCAATCCTTACTTATAAATGGGAAAAGAAAGGCTCAGAGAAGATAATTGACTTGCTGAAGATTAGTCTAAATTTGTGGCAGAGCTAAATTTACAACCCAGGTCTCACATTTCAGTCTTTTACCATACCATGCCATCATTTCTCCTCCACCCAGGGCAGAAAGAAGTGTTTCCTATATTGACAGTTAAATATAGTCAGGTTATAGTTAAATATAGAAGGTTATAGTTAAATATAACCTTCTTTAAAAAGGTTGGTTTCCATCCTTCTGGCTAGTTCCTTGTTCTCTGCTAGCATGTCAATGCTGAAAAATTCTTTTGAAGGGCTACCCAGCATCTTTTGTGTCAACATTCAGAGTTCCTATCTGAATCTCAGCAGATTTATCTGTCACCAAATCATCAAGTTGCAACCTTTGGGACCAACAGCCCCAAGTTCACCCCCTTCCAAAAACATGGGTCTAAGTCCATCATTTCTCAATCAACTATTTACTTCAGGCCCTGCTGAAAGACAAAACATTCCTTTTAAATATATATATTTGTTATTGATTTCAAAGAAGAGAGAGGGAGAGAGAGATAGAAACATCAATGATGAGAGAGTCATTGACTGGCTGCCTCCTATACACCTATCACTGGGGATCGAGCCCGCAACCCAGGCATGTGTCCTGACCAGAAATCAAACCATAACCTCTTGGTTCATAGGTCCACACTCAACCACTAAGCCACCATGGCTGGGCAAAGCATTCCTTTTATCACTCACCTGCCAAACCATCATCCCCACCTTTCCATATCCCCACCTTTCCATAATCTTTCTGAGTTGTTCCTGTACCCGACACAGCCTCTCCTCTTTCCTTCCTAAACCCTTCCACTGTTATTTTTAGAATTCCAGACAAAAGCAACAAAAGTCCACATATCTTTAAACTCTTCTCTGAACCTCTATCTCATTTTTGAAACCTGGCGATGCACTGACATTGCCTCTACCCAACCCCACCCCACCCGCAGCTCTCTAAATAGAATTGGTTCCTTCTCGTGCATCTCATGTCTCTCAGGCCAGAAAATGGATTCAGTATCATCCTTATTCCCTATTGCCATTTCCAGACCATTACCATCTCCTTCTTATAAAAAACCTTCCTCCCTTGAGGTCCAGGTGATAGAACTATACCACCCTCTCATCTCCCTTGAAAAGATACTGACATCTGGTTCAGCCTTCTCCTCTCTCCTCCCGGCCTCATTCCAAATGATCACTATTTCCATAGGGGTAACGCACAAAGAATCCCATTCTCTGAGTTCTCTGACCTTTTCTTCCATGCTATCTCAATAACCCGCTTCACTTGAGTAACCCACTCCTACCCTTGTATGCCCCACCGGTCATCTGCAGGGACTGCATACTCCCTTGAACCACTTATCCAAATATCCCTCTCTGATAAAAATTCACCTGCTCAGAGGACCCCTATATCAACTTTCACTTTACCTATTTCTCTTACCCTCCCCTCAATCCAGAAGCAACCTCTTTTCTTTACTCTGTACTTACTCAGGTTTGATTCCTTAGATCCTCTTGCAGACATCTTCATTTCCCTCTGTCCTTCCTCCTACCCAGCTGGTAAAACACAACTCTTAATGAACCCACTCTACTTTTTCAGTGCCTATATTCATTAAATTGAGTGTTACTAGAAAAAAATTACATAACTAGGCACATGGGTACACTATATATTCACAATATGTTTCCCTAATAAGTTCACTCTCCCATTGTCAAATCTTACTTTAAATACTTGAACATAAGGAATTCCCTCCATCCTATTGAAACCATCCTCAGAAAAGCATATTATGGACCACATTCTTGATTAATTAATTTTGAAGAACAAGGTACTGGTTGGGAATGATGTATTAGTCTGAAAAGATAGTTGCTAATGATATTTTTGGATGTTTATAGAGATGCCCTAGCAAGACTAGAAAAAAAGAATGTGAGAAGGGGTTGGGGACTATAGAAGTAAACATAGATTAATAAAATAAGTGGTTGGTTGTGAAAATAATGAATATTCATGAGGAAATGAGTGAGGGGGGAAATCATCCTAATGATATAGAACTAGATATTTATGGCTTGGTATGAAATCTTCAAAGACAACAATAAACAGTTCTTAAAGTTCCCTTTCAAACAGTGTAGAAAGAGGAGAAGATGATGTGTCTGAAAATGGAGCTTGAGGCTCTCAACATGGCTCTATGATAATGAAGACTGATGTCAAACACACATTAAGAGCATTTCAGTTGACCTCTCACTCTTGAAATACTAGTTTCCTTGGATTCTGTGATCACTTATTCTCCTGTTCCCTCTCTCCATCTTTCTGGCAGCTTCCTCCTTTATTGGGTTCTCATTTTTCTCCATTAAAGCTTTAAATGTTGGCGTTCCAAAGGCCAATCATGGGTGTTTGCTCCCATGTTACACTTTTTCCTGAGGCAAACTTTCCCATTCCCATAGCTTTGAAATACACTTTCATACCTGATAACACAGAGATGTATATACTAACAGTCTCTGTTCTGAGCTCCAGATATCTATGGCCATCTTGCTCTTTTGTAACTCTATTTGGATGTCTCACAATGATCTCAAATCTAATGGACCTAAAACCCAAATGCTTAATCTTATCCCACAAATCTGTTCTTCCTCCACCTTTCCCCACCTCCTTTCATGTACATGTTCAAGCCAGAAACCAATCATCTTTAACATACTCTCTCCTCTTTCATCCCCCCCTCCATATCCAATTCATTACCAAGTTCTGACAGTTACCTCTAACACATATCTTGAAATCATCCATTTCTCTGTCTCCAATTTCATCATCCTAATCCAAGCCACCAAAAATCTAATCTAGTACTAACTTCTTGTCCACTCTTGTCCCCTCATACTTCATTCTCTAATTGGATTCTTCTAAAACATTAACTCAGTGATGTTGTTCTCCTGGTTAAAATCCACCAGTGGCTTCCCACTGCACTTCGGAAAAAAATTCTCACTTTGTAACATGGTCTTTGAATTAGTTACTACCTACTTCTTTATATTTATCCAGAGCTACTTTCCTGCCTTGCTTCCCCTTGCTCTCTGAACTCCAAACACACCAGCTTTCTTTTAGTACCTGGAATATGCCAAACTTCACCCTACCTAAAACTCTTTCTCTTACTTCTACTATTCCTTCAGGTTTCAGCTTAAATGTTATTTCCTTACAAATAAATTCCCTGACTGACCCATTTTATTTCTTTTTTTATTTTTTTAAATATATTTTTATTGATGTCAGAGAGGAAGGAAGAGGGAGAGAGAGAGAGACAGAAACATCAATGATGAGAGAGAATCATTGATTGGTTGCCTCCTGCATGCCCCCTACTGGGGATCAAGCCCACAACCCAGGCATGTGCCCCGACCGGAATCGAACCCGGGACCCTTCAGTCCGCAGGACGACGCTCCATACATTGAGCCAAACCAGCTAGGGCTGACTGACCCATTTTAATTGGGTCTCCATTATTTCCTTTAATGACACTCCATTTTTTTCATTCACAGTACTTAACATAAATTGGTTGTATTTATCAGATACTTCCCTTTTAACTTCCTACTCTAGGAGGACTCACCTCTCCTTGGCAACTATAAGAAACAGGAAGCGTAGTTCTTTTATAGTAAGAGGCTTACACATTCACTACAATCACAACCTGACTCACAAGCACTCCTAAGGCAGGGGTGGGCAAACTTTTGACTCGAGGGCCACAATGGGTTCTTAAACTGGACCAGAGGGCCGGAACAAAAGCATGGATGGAGTGTTTGTGTGAACTAATATAAATGCAAAGTAAACATCATTACATAAAAGGGTACGGTCTTTTTTTTTTTTTTTTTTTTTAGTTTTATTCATTTCAAACGGCCGAATCCGTCCCACGGGCCGTAGTTTGCCCACGGCTGCTAAGGGGTGAACTTTCATCTTTCAGTCTAAAGTGCAATCCTGATGGGAGCAGCCAGAACTGTGGTGTGTGAACGCCCACTCCTATCCCCACATCCTTCTCTCTGGAAAGTGCTACCTCTTCCAATTTTCCGTTTATATATAAAAACTGTGTTCACATTCATCATTAACGCTAATGTGTAAATTCTCTCCAAGGAAAATCCGCCTTCCACCTGGCTTGAAAACCTTGAATTAAAATGCAGGCGAGCAATGGTGGAATTGCAGTAGCAACCAGAGCAAGGAGAAGGAACACCCCCAAATCGTTCCATATAATGACTGGTTTTCTTGTCTGGCTGCATTTGTATAAGTTTGATTCTGGTTGTAACTATGAGTCTGAAGAAGAATCTTGGCCATCCTGTACCTTAAAGCATGCCCTTTTTGGCAAGCTATATAAAAAGAAATCTCTGACAAAAAATAAAATAAAATAAAATAAAATAAAGTGCAATCCTTTCCCTAATACTGAGAGGTTCAGGAGAAGATCAGTACCATCCAGACCATCCAAGTATCCAAATTAGGCTAATACCTCCAGTTCTTATATTACCATGCCATAATAACATGAGTGGTTTATTGCCCTGGACTACCTTGTTTGGTGACTGCATAGTCTTGCTAGAATTTTCTTTCAAGTATGTACAAACCATATTATGCTTCTATAATTAAAATTATATAGACACACATATACATGTTAAACACTAGCTCACTGTTTATTCCATTGTTCCTTACACTTTGGGTTCTGTCTTTTTTTTGGGGGGGGGGCACAAGACTGTTTTCCTCCATATTGTTCATTTTACTTATATTTATAAGTATTTATATTTACTTATATTTATAAGTATTTATATTCAAAGTTTTAAAAATACTAATATATTATATGATCTATTTTATTTCTTATCCTAAAATATCTCAAGATTACTTCATATAAAATATTTATTATCTGTCCAATACACTAAAACTGCAAATTCCATAAAGTCAGGGATTATCTATTTTGTTCACCAACATATTTCCAGCACCTAGCACAATGCCTGGCAAATAATATAAGGCATTAATAACTATTGTTAAAATAAGAAATACATCTATATTCATCCTTATCTTCCATCCATCCAATCTCAAAGGCTAAGCTGTCCTTTCTAAGAATAATTCTTCTGGTTTTCTTCTCATTCCCTTCAATCTCTCCCTCTCTATAAACAATTTTCCCTGAGCACATAAATATAACACACAGGTCAAGACTATTTCTTTTTAAAGAAAGCTCAAAATAACTTTCCCTTAACTCTATACCCACTCCTCCTTTTATTTACCATTTTCTCCCTCCTAGTTTTCTCATCTAAACTAATTAAAAAAGTATTTATTCTTCAACCAACTATAACCTGCCATTCACCCTTACCAACCTATATAATTGCTCTAATCAAGACCGTAATGACTTACTAATTGTGATATCGGTTAAGCATTTTCAAATCTTTATCCCCTTTGATGTCTCTATAGTAGCATTTGACAAGGCTAAATACTCCCTTTTATGAAATTCACTCCTCCCCTGGCATCTGTGATACCACATTCTCCTAATTTTCCTTCTACCTTTCTAATTTTCTCTTAGTTCTTCTTAGTTTTTTCCCTGGGCAGCTCTTCTTCTATTCAACCCTAAACATTATGTCCCCCAGGGTTTTTTACTCAGTGTTTTTCTCTTGTCACTCCCTATCTTCTTCTTAGAAAAATTTCATCTATTCCTACTGATGTAGATGACTCCAAAATTTCTATCTCCAACCCAGACCTCTTTCTTGATCTCTAAATCTCATCAAAGACCCCATATCTTGCTCACAGATGAATTCACCACCTTAAACTTTTTCTTCTATACTCTCCATTTTAGATCATAATCCTTTTGGCCACTCATTCACTCATGCCTCACTCTTCCTCAGCTCTCATATCCAACTGGTAACCATATCAAGGTGATCCTGTCTCCTAAAGATCTCAAATTTGTCTCTTCTTCATCACTGCTATTGTCTATATTGTCTATCTTCCTTGCTTGGATCACTATTTCTGAGTCTAGTCTTGTTCACAGGAATTCATCTTCCATGCTATTGCCAAAGTGAGCTTTCTAAATAGAAATCTTATCAATTTCCCCCTACTTAATGTCAATGGTTCCTCTTTATCTATAAAATAAAACCCAAACCCCCTTAACTTCACATGCAAGGCCCTTTATGACCTGGGCCTTGCATGTCTCTAGACCAGGGGTGGGCAAACTTTTTGACTCGAGGGCCACAATGGGTTCTTAAACTGGACCGGAGGGCCGGAACAAAAGCATGGATGGAGTATTTGTGTGAACCAATATAAATTCAAAGTAAACATCATTACATAAAAGGGGACGGTCTTTTTTTTTTTTAGTTTTATTCATTTCAAACAGGCCGGATCTGGCCCACGGGCCGTAGTTTGCCCACGGCTCCCTAGCCTTATCTCCCCTACCCCTGTAACCTCCTACCCCAAAGCACAACCAAAAGCTACCAACATTAGTCCTCCTCCATAACTCTGAAAATTATCACACTGATCCACCCCCCATTTCTACCTTGGTTCATCTGACTAAATTATACTTCAAGTTCTGGCTCAAGCAGTATCTTGTCTTAGAAAGTTTTCCAATTCTACTCCCAACTTATAGCTTTCTTATCTACCTTCCTTAGAAGCCTATCTCCCTTGTGACAGGCTTATACTCATTTCTTCTGCACTTATCCAGCCCTCCTAAAATGCCTGGTATATAATAGGTACCCCAAAACTATAGATTATATGAACAAATAATTCAATGAATTAAATCTTTCTCTCTCTTCTTCAGCGGCATATCCTCTAACAAGTAGCAATGAGAAATTAATTATAATCTTTGCAGAATTCCCTCTAACATTCTAACCCTTGCCTCTCTCCTTCATCTCCAGTTTTCAAGCCCAAGTAGTTTTCCAAACCATGGCCGAACTTACCAAAACCACTTTCCTCTCCTTTTTGTTGGTCCCTGATCTGAACATGATCCTGAACCATTTTCTTCAGTTGGTCTTCCTGTTTATGCTCATGTCCTCGCTGGGCTTTCTTCATTTTCTCATCTTCTGGGAAGATAAAATAATTGTAGGGTGGGGTTATGTGGGAGAGATTCTTTGTAGATAGTAGAAAGCAGAAAGCAGAAAGAAGGATGAAAGAAGAAAAATCATAGCATGATAGTTTCAAGCATTAGGTTGGAAATTCTCAGTCTGCCCACTGTCCCATTCCCTAATTTTATGGATTAAGTATTTGAGCCAGATGTCAAAGTATATCTGACTATACTTACGAGCTTTTTTCTTTCTTCTCCTTAAGGAGAGTTTACTGAATTTCTTCTCAGATGATGCAAGATCTGGCTGGCCTGGCTTAGATGGGATTATTCCATCTTCCTGAGAGGCTGAAATCTCTAGAATATGAGGTACTGTTACCCACTCTCTGAAAATAAGATATTTTTAAATGAAAAGGTAAAACAATCCAAAAATAAAATTTAAGAGGATAGAAGAATCCTAGGCTCTCTAAGGCCTCCTGATGTCATTTTACCTATCTACCTGCCTATTTTTCCCAATTCAAACAGGTAGCTTTCCTGAGCTGAGACAAATTTACAGAGATATAAAAAATGACCAGAAAAAAAAAATGACCAGATAGGTAGGTTGGTAGGTAGGTAGATAGATAACCTTTTATAAATATTAAGTCCACCCTGTAATCAACTCACCTAACAGGAATAAACTTACCTATCAGCATTATCATTATCAGTAGTAGAAGAAGCAATTCCTGGTTCCTTGTCTAACTGGGTATGTCTTATAGGCTGGGCACAGGAAGTCTCTGCAAAATCAAGGCTAGATTCTATCTCTTCCAAAACAAAACACTATAAGCAAAGAAGTAATGTTACGAAATAACCACTCCATTATTTTTAAATTATAATCTTTCATTAAATGTCTTCCACCTGTTGCCTGGAAGAGTCTACTTTTGGACTTTTGTCATATCATAAAATTTTAAGTCTTTAAAATTTCAGGAAAAAATACAAATTTATGTCCTTCTAAAAGCCTTTCCAGATTGACCTGCCTCATTCCAGGATAGCCAGGTAATGTTAATTTTGTTTTATTTACTGTGTCTTATATAATTTTTCCTTAAACTTTCCTCTAGGAATAGAATTATATCTAAGAATAGCTGAAAATATCAGACCATTTTCCTTAGCCCCATGACCTTATTGATAGGGTCTTGGGGCTTATGCTATAGAGTCCTTTGTTCTAAAAATAAAATCCTTGAGAATGTTGAAACAGTATGGGAAACAGAAAATATAGAAGGGTAGATGGAAACTAAATTCTTCAAACCTGGGAAAAATAATTTATCTTTTCTAAGTAACTTCTGAACATATAGAAAAGAATTTAGCTTACATTTTAAAAAATTTAGATGAAACTGTATTTACATTCTGAAGTCAATGTAATCTACTTTTCTAAAAGCCTGCACCCCCTATCTAAGGTGGTTTAGCTATAGTCCTTGATAGAAGATGAAGCATTTTAAAGTATGTCAAAGTCCCATCTAATATTTTCTTACTTAAGAGGATGGAGGCAAGAAAGAAAACTGTCAATTTACTCAACATCTCAGGTAACAGTTTCTCTGCCTGAAACTCTTTTTCTCTCACCATAAGCCATACCCAAGCACTCTTCGAGGGACTTCTGTATCACAATCTGGAAAATCTCCTCAAACTCTTCATTGGTAAGATTTGATTTTTCCTGCATAGACAAGGGTAGAGAAGGAAAACTGCTCGTCTTTTCCCAGTTCTCCTCTCTGGCCAGTCAGAAAAGCCTCCGTTAGATGAGGCAGTAAACTCACAAGGCTGAGAGCATGAAGTCAATCGTATATACGGACTCCATAAACTCTATCCCAGACCTCCTGGGAATAAAGGAGTCAAAAAATGCAAAAAGTTGATTAAATTTCTGTCCACCTCTACTTTCATATCCAAACCACGTCAGGCCCTACATACCTACCATTATTTCCTGCTAAATACTGTCATCAAAACATTTTTTATCTTCTTAAGAAAAAAAAATGGAAGTCCCAAAAAAGGAATAAAAAACTGAAACTACAAGATGAATTTCCCCAACATGGAAAGATTCTATTTGTCCAGGATGAATGACTAGAAGAAACTGTCCCACTAGAGCCCGTCAGTATGACTGATACCTTTTCTTTCTTCTCTGCTTGCTTGTTGTCTTGAACCTTTACTTTTTTCTCCTGGTCACTGCATGAACCATTCACTGTGGTTGCTTCCTCCTCCTTCTTCTCCAACTTGGCCTTTAGGGGGTTTGGTCCGGCCTCTGCCTCCAGGGAACTGACCCCCAGAGTCTCCTCTTTGTGTGAGTTAGGGTTATAGGGCATCAAGCTATGCAATTTTTGTGCAGGTGGGATAAAGGGTTTTTTTGATCCTTTCCCATATTCTGAAAGAAATTTGATCATCAAATGTAATTTATGAAACGTAGAGTCTAACACAGAGACTGCCAAACACTGCCAACTGACTGACCATATCAGAATTATCTGGAGAAATATTTTAATAAATTCATATTTCTAGGTCTCTACTCACCCACCCTCATTTCCCCTGCCCTGAGTTTCTGATGAAATATTTTGAAGTGAGGCCCAAGAATCTGAAATTTTACAAGACTATCTAGATGATTCTGATGTACTTCCAGGCTTAGGAACCACTGAGTAATTGAAAGGTGATAAATATGATAAATATAAGCATTTGGGAAACTGAATTATTTAAATACAAAAATTTAAAAATTTGTCTATTTTAACTTTGGACAGAATTTTATGGGAAATTAAGAGAAAATGAAAAAAATATAGTTAAAATCTACAGATGATACAATGAAAATTGTAGTGATCCTCCCAGGTGTAAGTAATATCTCTTTCTTCTGAGCTTCCATAATACTCTGTACCTGCCTGGTGACATTCACCCCTCAAATTTATGTTATAGATATTTATGAGTTCATATATTCCTTGAGCAGGACTATTTCTAAGATATATATTTTACTCAAAGTGTCTAGAAATGTAATTTTAACAAAGTAGAAATAAAAAATATGTAAACTGAGCTTCTCTTTGGTAGGAATCTGAGAAGGGAAAAATGAAAGATATGTATAAAATGAACCTCCCTCACTCTTGACTCACCTTCTTTACTCTGCAATGTTGTCATCATTCAGCTCAGAAGCTACACTTTTGTGCTCTGTTAGAAAAAAGAAATTAACTGCTAAAGCTCTGATTGAACATGAGTTTAAACTTTCTTCTCTTTCTGTCTTCTTGGGTTCAGGATTTCTTTTCCTGGAACCCCTGAACTACATGTTCTGCCTTCTTGACTATACTTCTGCCTTCTGAGCAATGCCAATTACATGCCAGGGGATAATTAGAGTTATTGTTTTAAAGATTAGCAATAATTCTTAGTGTTTTAAGTGCTGAAGAGTTTAACATATTCATACATCTATAAGCCATCTGTGGCACAACAGAATGCTGAGACTCAATTTGTGGGTGATGTTCCAATAATTTGTACATTTTTCCAATTTATTCTTTCCACTATTGATATTACTTCTATCCACTTGTTAGAAGAGAACTGCTTTTTTATCAGCCTAAATTTATAACCCTCTACCCAGTTTTCTTAGGTTTAAAGAATATAATTCACTCTTATTTTTGTAACAGTTATAATAAACACTGTAACTCAGGTAGTGTTATTAGAGGTCATAAAATATCATTTCCCCTTTTTACAGATGAAAAATATGCAGGGAGGTTAAGTGGTTTGCCCCAAATTTCAGTGTTAATAATTGGGAGAGCCAAGTTGAACCCAGGCCTTTGCTTTCAAATTCTACTAATACAACATCTATTCTTCTCAGTGATCTTATTTCTGACTGCTGGTTTTGAGTACTTTGAAGGCCCTAGATTTGCAATTCAATCTTCCAACTCTGCCATCTCCCACTTATAAAAAAACCACAAAGCAGCATAAAATGGATCTTTATGTTTATATACAGTTCCCTTTAAAGGATATGAAAATTTTAAGACCTTCAAACAGCCAAATTATAGTAAACACTCAGTTGTCTGGGGTGTAAAGTTCCTCTCCCTGGTTCCTAAGATGAATTCAAAAGGTGTTGGGACTTGACTTAGAGTGGCTACAGCATGATTGGGTGTAAAGTATTTTTAAGTTATCTTTTGGTATTTTTCTGTTCTATTTCTTAATTTCTGAATGTGGATAATTCTGATGTGTTATTCTGCAATAACTACTTTTCCTTTCATATTAAGGAGCACATTTTCTCACTTTTTGCATCATAACTCACCACTACCAACCCCCAAATGTATTTGCTCTAAGGAAAAAGGCAAATGGGCCGAAACCGGTTTGGCTCAGTGTTTAGAGCGTCGGCCTGTAGACTGAAGGGTCCCAGGTTCGATTCCGGTCGAGGGCATGTGCCTGGGCTGCGGGCACATCCCAGTGGGAGATGTGCAGGAGGCAGCTGATCGATGTCTCTCTTCTCATCGATGTTTCTAACTCTCTATCTCTCTCCCTTCCTCTCTGTAAAAGAATCAATAAAATATATTTTAAAAAAAAAAAAGGCAAATGGGAAATTGGGGGAGAAACACTACAGCAAATTGGTCTCCTTCTTTATGATAATCCTAAGTAGAAGCTAGAAACTGAATCAAATTGGTTGCAAAAGGAATACTAATTTGACCACAAATGACAAACACCTTCTCTCAGATTCCAGAATCCCAAAAATAATCATTACAAGTCCCTATGAAGGTAATATAAATTTCAAGAAGAGCTATACTAAATGAAAATTAGTAGATTTGAGATGACATTTCTTTTTTTAAATGTCTATCTTTTAAAAGAAAAAAAAACAAAATAAAATTTAAAAATGTCTCTCTTTATAATGTGCCTCTGGAGAGTAGAACTGTATGGAACGGAGCTTTTTACTGTACCCCCCCCCATGCATCTCTAACATGTTATAGCATACACATATTATCACTTCAAAAGTTATTTTTTTAAATTCTAAATTCTTTAAATAAAATATAGAGTATTTTTGATCTAAAAATGCACAAATTTTCCAAGTTAGGTTCAAATAATTATTTAAGCCTCTACTGACCTCTGTAGGCAAAAGTGTGTTACTGGCGCCCCAACCAACTGGATAAAATTGTGGATCATTACTGAGTTAACAAACTGTAGTAAATCTATACTAGTAAGCAATGATGTGTAACACTTCCCCGTAATCAAGAGTGGGTTTGTGATGAATACATTACCTTTAAAGAAAATCTCTAACCTGATCAATAGAGAAAGGAAAGCCAAGAAGTAACTGACAACTCAAGTCTCCGCTCCTCTGCTCCAGACTAATTATTTTCTCCCACAATAACAAATACTGAAATCTAGTTCAGAGAGAGAAATATTTCTAAACAGTTAATAAATATACAAAAAAGTACCACCAACTTTCATCTGACCAGCTAATAAATGACTTTCACTTAAACACTGAAAATCATCACATTGGTTTTAAGAAAAAAATCACCTTGCTCAGCAGTTCTCAAAGTGTGATCCAAAGACTCCTGGGGGTCCTCTCCCTTTTCCAACTACCTATCTGTGTTAGCCTGGATTTTCTCATATACTTCAACCGAAACAAGATACAAGCATACGTTGGATATATTGCAGATTTGGTGCCAAATCACCACAATAAAGTGAGTATCACAATAAAGCAAGCTGTAATCTTTTGCTAATGGAGGGTCTTGCCTTTAATTTGTAAAAAAACAAAACATGCAACACCTGTGAAGCACAATAAAGGGACGTACAATAAAACAAGGTGTGCCTGTATCATAACAGATTGAATTCAGAAACAGATTAAAATCCAGCTGTCTTCTATTAAGCCAAACATGAACAATATTGCAAAAATGTAAAACAACAACATGTTCACACTAACTTTCCTTTTGTTTGGGAAAATATATTTTTCATAAAAATGTGAACATGTAATGAGTTGTTATTTTAACATTAATAAATGTTTAAATTTTTCTGTTTAATTTCTGCCATGGATATAAACCAATCTTTGAAGTCCTTCAGAATTTTCAAGAGTACAAAAAAGGATAACATGTTTGAGAACTGGTGTAGCTAAATAACTTAATTCAGTCGTGTAAATACTTTTCAAACAGCATTCATTCTCTTCCCTCCTCCTCCCATTTAAAATGTGTTCACAAATTTCTCCCTCCTAACTATCCAATTATTATTCCCTCTATATTGTTTCTGGAATCCTTGGTCTTAAGAAAATAAAAGTCAACCCTTTAGAATTATACTCTAAAATGTGTGCATTTTTAGATTGATCAAAAATACTCTATTTTAAACCTAAACTCTGCCAGTTTCAAAAACCTGTATTTAAAGACTCTATTTAAAATCTCCTTTAAGCTGGAGTTGGATTCCCTTTTGGCTTTAATGTCTAATCTGCTTATTTTCATGCCTCAATCAGTAACAGCTGCTTTCTTTCTTTTCTTTTCTCCTCAGAGAGGATGGTTCACATTTAACAAGACAGAAGGAAAAAGAAGATCCCGGCTCCCCTGCTGCCTACACTAGACTACCTGACAAGACATTCCTGTCGTTACTACCAGTTCACCTAAAGCTCCTACAGAATCTTGTAAATGGCGAACTACAGCTTCTCGGTTCAGAGAGCGCACCAGGCGCAGAGATAGGGCCACTATCACAAGAAGGCGCCCTTCCGGGGCTGCGCTCCGGCTCCCCCTATCGGCCGCCGCAGGCGCTCCCGGCGGCCCTCCGACCGCCACCGGCCTGTTCTGTGTTGTTTGCGCTTAGAGCAGCACGTCGCCATCAACTTCCAGATCACCGCACCGTTTTTTCCTCTCAGGCTGCCTAGGTCTGGAACAGTAAAAGGCCTTAATCCCACCTTTAACATTTGAGGGAAGAACTTTCTGGTGATCCCCATTTTTCCTCGCTCTTCCTTCACCAAGCCTCTCTTAAGATCGGAGGTATCACAGTCAAAAGTCCTTGACGCCCCTCCAAGAGGAAAACGGCGTCTTTCTAGATTCTCTTCCCCCATCGAGAACCCCATCATGAGAAAATACCCCCTCCGCTGCCCCTCCCGCAGAGACACCAGAATCCTCATTCTCGCGCGGACCGTCATTGCCCGCCAGTAAGAAAGAATGGGGTTACTTTTGTTTGTCAGCTGGGAGTGAGTTTGCGGTTAGAGGTTCTAAGGAGCAGGGGTAAGAGTTGTCACCCTGACGAGGAAACTCAGACGGAAGATCCCAGGATTAGCTGCGCCTAACACCTTCATCTGCAACCATATTAGAGATAGCTACCTTCTGGAGCGAGGAACAGAGAGAACTACTGCAACAATTCTGCAAGCCCCTCCAACCTCGACCCACTTTTCCCGCCACCAAGAAAAGGCGCGAGGCCACGCGTAAGCTCCACAGTTCCCTCCAGCGGCGAACTCTCAGTGCTGAGGCGCATGCGCAGCCAGAAGATGCGTTTGCGCTTGCGCAGCTGAATGTCGCCATCTTCCACGCTAACGCCCTGTAAAACTACAAATCCCATAATCCTAGATGGCCTCACTTTTTCCTTTAGGCGTCCACAGCAGTGCCTGATCGTTAATGAACCACATCTTTCTTTTACTAATTTTTCTCTGCCCCAAGCTGCCTTTTCCTTTTCGTTTCCTGATTCCTATTACTCCTTTGAGTCTCCTTCGCACCCGTATTTTAATATTTTGTTTGAGACTCTCCTCCCCATTCTCGACTCTCCCACCCTCTGGGGTGCAACAGGGCCCGCACCCCAGCACTGTTGGGAGAACCGGCCGCTTTGCACCCAGTAGAATGGGCGTCGGATAGCTTCCTCCTCATTGGCCGAGGCCGGGGCAACCAAACCTAAACCTCTTCCCCACCCACACCTGTTTATCTATAAGGGCGAGAAGCCGCAGCGTGCGCTCGGGAAGGCCTACGTGCGAGCTGGTGGTAGTGGTGAATGTATTGCTATTGGTGGCTGTGGTGGGCATAGGGTCGCAGTCCTCGGGCTAGGGGATCGAGCGCGCAGGAGTTCGGTGGGGTACGGGGGCGTTGGTATCGGGGCTTTGAGAGACGGAGGGAAGGGCGTGGTGTCCTCAGGTGATCGAGATTAGGGGAAGGCTGAGGAGCGAGAGGACTACTCGGCCATTTCGTTGGAAGAGGAAGTTGGACATCAGCTGTTTTAGTGACTTTTTTTTTCAGTTCAGCAGTGAATATTTTCCAGGGGGGTGAGTTAAAATGACTTATCGTATTTTATTAAGAACAGCTCGTAGGAAGACGGTCAGTACACTCGCTCCTTCCTCTACTTTTAAGGTTCCCCCTCTTGTTCCCCCCCGCCCTTCTAAGTAGGTGGGCAAACGGAGACCAGTCATGAATAACTCATGAGGGCCTACCCGTTCCTTAGCCACGCCCCTCCCAATCGTGCTAACGCACGTTACGTGTACCAAACTTGGGGAAGCGACGTAACAGTCCCCGCCCCTAAGACGGAGGGCGGGGCACCACCCTCAGCACGTGCTGCATCAACCCGCGCAAGCCCAAAAGGATGTGCGCAGGCGCTCCCCGCTAGGGGGAGGAAGGAGGCGGGGTAGGGAGCTTGTTGGGTTTAGAGCCGGGCGGAGACCGCTGAGACTCATTCCTCAGGAACAAGGGTCGGGTGTCAAGGAGACCTTTTCACACCAGCTCCCCGTCCCCGCCTACGGTGGGTGGGTTCGCGCGGCAGAGACAAAGGATATCAGTAGGGACGAACATAGCTGCGAAGGGAAGTAGGGTGTCAGTTTGGGGTGGTGGGCTTTTGGGGGGATTACAGGGAGCTATATTTAAACTCCCGGAGCCGTTAAGTTGGTTCGTACTCGGATGCGCGCGCGACCAGGGTGGCGGCGGAGTGCGCATGCGTGGTTCTGGGGCGAGAGGAACGCGCTTGGGCTGTGCGCGCTCGCGGCAAAGCGGTAGTGGTGGAGGAGAAGGGTCGGCGCACGCGCGGTTGGTTCCTGGAGTTCGGGTCTCGCGGGCATCTTGTTTTGGTCTCGTAGGCGAGGGGGCCGCGCTTCGGGGGAGGCGCTAGGGCGCGAGACTAGGCGAGAGCAGCTGCGCGCGCACCCAGGAAAGGGGGGAAGGGAGCGGGTGTAGGAAGGGGTGGGGGGTAAGCCCCCTGGTCCACCCTCTTAGCCCTCGACTGGGACGGAGTAAGGGGAGGAAATGATAGAGATGGCGGCGGAGAAGGAGCCGTTTCTGGTACCTGCCCCCCCCCCGC